AGGTTCTACATAACTTACCTTCAGGAAATAATCCTAGATCGCTCTCCAAATTGTAACCTTCAGGTAAGGTTCTAGAAAACTAAAGTTTTGCCTGTACCTTTTTCAGTAAAACACCTGGTTTCACTGACAGTTGTCAGCAGCAGTTGTACTTTTTAAATTTTGTTTGAATATTGGAATTGCGACAAATTTGCTCAAATATTAAAACAAATGAATGTATTCAGCACAAGAGTTGACACACAGGTTGTCTGTGATGTCGGTCTGTTGCCACCGGGTGGTGCTGAGGTCTGATTCTGAGGGGAACGCCTCTTCTTCACAGTCACTGGGCTTGCACGCAGTGGGCTTCCGGTTGACGACTTAAAATAAAATGTTTCACTTAAATGATCACGTTTATGGTTAATAAATTTTTCATAGTAAATTATTTATAAAGTGTTTTTTTGTGTTAACAGCTAATTTGCTGCTGCACATTAGAAAATTCAATATTCGAAAATTAAATACTAAATATTGTTTCCGGTTTATTCAGAACTTCCTTCTAGGAGGTTAACAAATCGACAGGTAAGGTCGAGTGGGAAGGGAATGGAAACTCTTTCCAAAATACTGTTGATTCTAAATCGTATTAGCGTCCAAAACATATAAAGGCTGTGATATCATGTATCTGAACATGCTAGTCGCGTTTAGTTTCCTTGTGTCAGTGCTGAACTTGTATGTAAAGCAGCAGCTAGCTTATCTTGTACGAGCAGGTCCGAGGAGACTGCATGCAGTATTCGAATCTAAATGTAATATTTGTTCTATATTATTGTCCTAAAGTGGTAAGCTGCTGCTAAACAGAACTATCAAATGCCCAAAATATATACACTCCTGAGCAAATGCATGCAGAGTGCAATTATCACGTTGTGTTATATTTATGCCGCATTCAATGGGTTTTTAAGTACGATTCTCATTAGAAGGCAGCTGGGTTGAAGCCTACACTCAATAGTGTGAGTCATGAAAGTGATTAGTCGTTCTTAAAATTTTTGTTTAACGAGATCAGACGGGGTCATTATTTGATTTTCCATGAATGCGCTGATCATAACTACATGCCTATGTAAAAAAGAGAGTGGAAGAAAACTGGGATAAAAACAGAAAGACAAAGAAAGGCTGGGCTTGAGATACTAACCTACAACCATTTCTACAAACTGCCCTCTCAAAGATCTCCTAAAGTTCTCAGTATCATAGTCAATTCTTGCCAACATTTTCTGTATGATCCAATTTCTTACATAGCTTCTGTCCAGTTTTTGAAATTTGGGGAGGATGTGTCTTTCCATACTCTTCGGGTTATTCTTGTGGCTGTAAAAGCACCTGCTTTTGTCACCACAAGTCAGTATTTGGATGCAGTGGGTAAGACCGACTGGTCTCAGAAAAAACATAACCTTGGTGATTTGGGTATTATCAAACTTAACCAGTCCACTACACGATCTAGATTTTTTTTTCCAAAAGGAATACACTTGTTTAAATTCCCAAATAACATGAATAAATGTTCCTTTTCTGATTTACATTTCCAACAGAAATTGTTGCACATTACATCCAAACTTTAAGTGGGTAAAATAAAACCCATGCATTACTTTAGAAATGGCATGAATTTTCCATGGGCCTTTTTTAAAGGTATTTATTAGTATTGGAGAATACTCCAGACCAGTTCTTCTTGCTCATTGCACAGCCAAGGTCCTTTTGCCAAATCCTCAGAGTATTGAAGGTGTCCTTTTTCTATTTGTTTAACAGTTTATAAAGCACAGCT